AAAAAGCTTAAAATAATTATATTTTTAATTTATAATATTAATTACTAATTAATTAAATTTAAAAGTAATTAAAAGTAATAATATAATAATTAATATAAATAATAAGAATAAAAGTAGTTTATATATTATTTATATAATATAAAAGACTTTTTTTAATTAATTATAAGCTTTATATAAATAATTAAATCTTTTAGTATTCTTAATATTAAGTTATTAAAATATATTTTATATAATAATATAAAGTCTTATTTAAATAACTTATATTAACTTAAACTTAAAGAAAATAATTTTATTTACTTAAGAAATACCTTAATAATAATAGAAATTTATAATATTATAAATATAATTATATAAACTAAAAAGTTCCTAAATAAGGAAATAATTACTATTTATAATATAGCTAATATATTTATTTTTTATATTTCAGTTATATTTCTAAAATAATTTAATAAATATAGTATTTATTAGTTCAATTAATTAAATATATTTAAATAAGGAAATTATAAAGATTATTAAATTAATATATTAATAATTTTTAATTAATAAGTATTTAAATATAATTCTCTTATTAAGAGCTCTAAATTAAACTTATATTAAAGTATTTTAATTATATATTTTAAAGCTTATTTTTCTCGAGATCTAAGGCTTATAAATATAATTACTTTTAATTAAAAATATAAAATAATAAAGTATTTTTACTTTAAAGTTCTTTTTTATATTAAGAAATAGTATTAATTATTATTTAATTAATAAATTCAAAGTATAAAAAGTATTATTTAAATAATATAAAGTAAATACTTTATAAAAGCTTTATAATATATTATTTTACTTTATTTTAAGGGCTTTATTAAAACTTAATTTTAATATTTAAAAGTTTTAATAAAGAGAATTATATACTTTATTTTATTTATTTAATTTCTTAAATATATTTTATATATTATATATTAAAAACTAGTAAATAATATATTTTATAACTTTATAATAAAAATATTATATAAAAATAAAAAAATAATAATAAGATTTAATAATAACTTTATATTTTAAATAATAAAGAAAGATTTCTTTATTATATAATTTATATTTTATATATAAACCTAAATTAGCTTTATTTAGAAATTTAAAAAGTATTATAAGCTTAATATTATAATATATATATAATTTCTAATTTACTAAAGTTTTTATAACTTAAAATATACTTTATATTAATTATTTATTTAATAGATTTCTTGTTTCATTTTTAAAATAATTAACTTTTATTAACTTTATAAAGAAATATTTAAGTAATTTTACTTTAAAATTAGCTATTAATTATTTAGTATTATATAATTATTAAATATATTTATATATTAATAAATAGCCTAAAGTAAAAGCTAAACTAAATTATTATATTTATATTAATTACTTTATAAAATATAAGTTTATAAATATTAAACTAAAAAACTATTATTTTAATTAAAAATAATATAACTTAAATAATAATTAATTAATTACTAATTTTAATATAATATAAGTACTCGAAATTATTTCCTTAAATATTAATAATATAATTAATAATTAAGAAATATTTCTTTTTAATATTCTTTTAAAACTATATTCAATAAATATAAAAATATAATAATTATAAACTTATTTCTTAAAATAATTAAGGTAGCTTATATCTTATTAATTTCTAAAGAAAGTTTTAAACTAATATTTAATAAAAGCACTTTAATTACTATTTTGCTTTAAAGTTATACTTTATTAATAAAATAAATACTATTATTTATACTTTTATTAAATATTATAAAAAAAGTACTTTTAACTTTCAAGATAATATAATTAATATATTAATTTATAAAATCGGCTCAAAAATATATAATTAGTTTATAAATTTACTAATATATAACTAATTTAATTTAATTATTAATTTATTAATATTATTATAAAGTAGCTTTTTAAAAAAAGAAATAATTAAAGAGTTTTCGAAAAGTACTTTTATATTAAATATAATTTAAAGAAAATATATTTATAAGTTAATTATTTTTAATATTAAGAAATTAAACTAAGATTTCTTTTTTATAATTCTTTTATAAGCTTTTATATTACTTTTATTATATTACTTAAAATTTATATTAAGAATCTATTTCCTTTTTTAAAAAGAAATAAAAACTTTATTACTTATTTATATAATTAATTCTTTAAAGAGTTCTAAAAGGAAAAATATAATATTTTTTTAAAAAGAAAGTACTTTTAAATTAATCTTTATTATAAATATTAATTAGTTTATTATATCTTTTATATAAGTCTTTATTTATAAAGTAAATTAAAATAATTATTCTATTAAATATAAATCTAGACTTATAGTATATAATAATTTCTAAAAGTTTTTCTTTATAAAAACTTATATTATAATTTTAATTATATATATTTTAAATATACTTATAATAAGTATTACTTATTTTAATTTAATATTATTAATGCCTTTTATAATATATATAATAATAAACTAATTTATATTAAATATTTTAATAAATTTAAGCTTTATATAAGTAATTTAAATTACTACTTTTAGAATTTAACTTAATTAGTTAAAAGTTAAAAAAGCTAAGGCTTATATTTATACTAAATTATTTATACCTCTTTATTAATAATAAGCTCGTCTTTTTTTATATTAAGAATATTATAGTTTTATATTATTCTTTAAATTAAAGATATTTTAAAGAGTTTAAAACTTAATTCTTAAAATTATTTAAAATATAAAAACTAAAAAAATTAAAATAGTTTTATAATATATAAGTTATATGAAATTATAAAAATTAAAAACTTTAGATTTATTAAAATACTTATATTATAAAGATATATAATTAATTTAAATATATTAATATAATATTATATAAACCGAAAATACTAATAATAATTTCTTTTTATATATATATTAATATAATTAATAAAGATAGGATTTATTATTACTTTTAAGTAATAAGCTCTTTTATTTATATTATAACTATTACTTAACTAAATATTACTTTTAATATTAAATTATTAATTTAGAACCTTAAAAATATTAGCTTAAAATATTTAATTATTATATATTAATACTTTAATTACTTAGATAATATAAAGTTTTATATATTTAAATATAAAAATAAATAAAGTTTAAACTAGTATTTAGTACTATTAATAATACTACTTTTATAAATAATAAAAGTACTTAAAAAGTATTAAAGAAAATATCTTTACTTTTTTTAATAACTTATTTAATTAGTAAAGCTATTTATAATTAATTATTACTATCTTACTTATATAGCCAAATTCTTTAATAAAGACGCTTTTGTAATAATATTAACCTTAATATTAATTAAGAACTTATTATTTATTATAATAATCTTTTGGTTATTAAACTTTTTATAAAAGATTTACTAAAACTTATAACTAAACTTAAGTATATAAATATTAAATAATACTTAACTATATTAAGAGATTAATAAAGGTAATATTTAAGTTAAATAAAAGTTTATAAATAAAATAATTATAAATAGTTTTATTAAATTACTTATTATTTAAAAAGAAATTCATTAGATAGTTAATATAATAAATATTAAAGGTCGAATTATTAATAACTTTAATAATAACTTTAATAATAAAGAATAGTTTTTAGTTAAGTATAATTATTTTATAAATAAATATATTTTAAGAAATAAAATTAAAGAATTACTTTTTTTATTTCTTTATATTTAGTATATAATATTATTCTCTTATTAGTATTAATTTACTTTAATTTTATTTATATTAATATTTGATTTTAGGTTTAAATATATATAAATTTAATACGTGATTTAATTAAGCTAATTCTTATTATAAAAAAAGCTCTTATTTATTTTCTTTATTATAACTAATTATTTAGTATTATACTAATTAATTTATATAGTTTCTTTTAATTAAGAAAAAACTATTAAAATAATAAAGCTTAATAATATTTATATTAAAATTTATATTAAAACCTATATTTTTCTAATAAACTAAAACCCTTATTCGTATTTATTTTATAATACAAATACCTAAATTAATAATAATAAAGGGCTTAATAATACTATATTTATTTAGACTCGAGATTAAGTTAAAAACATTTAATATTATTATATTATTAAATATATTAATATATAAGTTTACTATTTTTTAACTTAATTTTATTTCTTATTTCTTTATTTATTAGTTATTATTATTATAAAAAGAAGATAGAATTAGTCTTATAAAGTTTTAGTTTATTTAAATCTTTATTATTAAGTTCTATACTATACTTATAACTTAGAGAAATATATTAATTAAGGTATTAAATAACTTTTATATAAAATATTTCCTTATTTCTCTTCTTTTCTATTTTAAACTAGCTTATCTTAGTATTTATTTCAGGAGCCTATAACTTCTATACTTTTTATACTTTAGATATCTTAATTACAGCTATCTTTATCCTTAAATTAGTTCTTATTTACGCCCCTAGAACCTCTAATAATGCATCTAATATTCGTTAACTTAAACTGAGTCTTTACTAGCTTATAAAGCCTAAATAGGCTAATAAATTAGCTAGATTATATTAAGAAAATTCTCTTTTCATTACTTTGCAATTTAGTTATAGTTATAATATTATCTAAGTATAAACTATTTATATAGAGTATTATTAAAGTAGGCTACAATAATTCTCAAGAGTTAATAATAACGGTAGTAGTAGGCTCTAGTAACACGTGACTCATATTGAGGTCATGCCAAGGAAATCAAAACAGCCCACCGCATTCTAACAGGATTTTGCTGAAAGTATCGTAAGAACTAAGGCTGGTACTTGGCTGTGGTATGTTTACAGCAGGGGAGAGTATGCTTCCACCCTGTCCAGGGCTCCCACAGATATAGAGGATATAATGCGTACATAAGTAGATAAAACTTGACCTCTGCGCGTCATTGCTCACCAGAGATAGCGAGATCACTTTGAATGATGGTAATGGATGAACTTTGGAAAATATAGTTCCGGGGGCTTTGATAAACGATTTCAATTTGAGCGGCATTTTGATAATAAGGAAGGAGTATCTGGATATTCAAGACCAACTAACAACTGAACGAATGTTGAACAAAACCGAAACAATGAGGACAAAATCTTAATTATGACCTTCATATCCAGCTCAAACACTCGGAAAATCATCGAAAAGCACTTTCTTGGCTAGGTAATTGTCAGCGCAGTTATCCGAAATCTCTCAATCGCGGAGACTTACTACAAGGGAACGATCCCCAATCGCTTCCATCCGGCAGGAGGAAAACCTTGAAAGCGCCTCCAACAATCTTATTCTTCATCTCGCCAGCAGCTCCTGGGGCTCTTCTCAAGTTCCCCAATCTTGCAAAGACTCTTAACATACTAGCCGCCGCCGTCGTGACGATGGGTCGTCCAAGACAAGAGTGCGGACCCCAGCCGTGATGAATGTAATACTCGTCTGGTCGATCGAGTTTGACTTTCAGAGGATCGGGAAATTTTGCGGAGTCAGTGCCTGCGCTTACAAAGTCGGTGAAGATGGTGTCGCCTTCTTTGACCGGGACAACGCGTGATCCATCTTCGATAGTTGTCTTGGGGACGTCGACAACTGCAAAATTGCAAGTCAGTATGTCGCCTATTTTATCGGGACAAAATGCTTTGTGAAAAGAGGTAACTTACCCCGAAGGACGCCGAAAGCAGGAGTGGCGAGTCGAAGGCCTTCAAGAGCGTATTTCTTCAATTTCTCGAAGTCCTCAGGAGAGTCTGAGTTGGCAAGCTTTTGGATTTCAGGCCAATGCGAGATGTAGTCGTCAGACAAGTAAAGGTCGATCAGTTGAGCCCACTGTTTCTGTCAGTGACTATGAGCTATTTAAACATTGGAAGATGCGCATACTCCTTGAGCCTGCGTGGCAGCCGCAGCTGCCGCAGTGGGAATAATTGTCCACACAACCTCATCAATACTCTTCCCTCCTTCGAACAGTCTGTCGACAAGACGAGTACCATAATCTTTGAGAATTGTCTCGCTAGGGGTGATACCCATCATGTGTCTGAAGCTAGAGAAGTGCTCGGTTTTGACAGCAGTTACGGAAGTCACCGTGGCATCCCCTAGTTTCTTCGTCGCTTTTGCAGCATTTACGCTATGTTGGAACGAAGTGGCTGTATCCAAGTCCAAGAATACATAGGCGAAGATCTGGGCTAGAGCGTTGTAGAGCTCTTTGTCAGTGAATGAATTTTCTCCACCGCCGAAATCCTTAAGCGGAATGCGGAAGAAATGGCCAGCAAAGTTGGCGTGAGCCAGATTGCCAATGCTGTAAAAATTAGCCGAGCGACTTGACACTGAACTAGAGAACCGTCTTACTCTCTCACAATATCAACTTGATACGATTTGCCAATCTTGCGACTGTAACGCCGGATGAGACTTAACGTGATAGCGTCGTAGAACTTTCGGACTTCGTCCAGAGCATTCTGAGGTTTGAACAGACAAGCATTGACGAACTCTCTTTGCTTGGCATTAGCGACCGAGTCACCACTCAGCATGTAGTCGTGGTGTGTTAGCTGGAAGGTGTGATTTCCCCCTGTTGATGGTCAGACTACGCTGCTCATACTTTAGGACAAGCGCCACTACATACAAGGGACTTTGAACTTCGTCTGATCACTGAGGACATCGACGACGCCTTGCCATGTAATCACCGGAATAGGTGGTCCGATGAATGAAGGTGGGTTATAATTGTATTTGTCGGCAAGGCCCTGCTTTGTAAAAATCTCTCGGTTCTTGTCTGGCGTCGAGAATGGGAATAGGGCATACACCGAATTCGCACGATGCCAGCCAGGGAACGCACGCATCAAAACCTTGTATATAACTCCGCCATTGGCAACATCGAAGGAGGATTCGGCAGCATTGAAACTGATTCAAAAATAAGCAAGAAAATTGTTATATCACAACAGCTCCTTACCCAAAGTTCGTAAGATTCGCGGGGCTGTAGTCAACCGCGTAGAAACGGTCTCCCCTCACCAGAGCGACGGCGTCGGCGAGGATGGCGGTAGCAATTGTGAACCCAGGGCACAGGCCGGACCCAGGCAGGAACGGTTGCTTTGCCTCTTCGGCTTGGAGACCAGGATACAATTCGATATCATCGGGAGTTTCATACAATGATTGCACTATGCCAAAATTAGCGCCGGGGCATGACATGGGGTTAAGTGAGCCTTACAAGCCTCTGCGACCGCGGGATCTGAGTTTACCTCAACTGGAGATACCTTTAGTAGAGCATCAATAATAATTGGCGTTGAGGTACCCACGGAACGTTGCATGTGGCTTCAGTTTGAAGAACAATCGAACCTCATTCAGTGTTGCAATATTCCATTTGCGTCCTGTCTCAATCCCCAGAATCTCAATAGCCTTCATCACGGCTGGTATATTACGTGCTCCAAAGGCACCTATTTGTGGATAATTAGTTCTTGTCATTCGGACAAAGGAGGAAACTTGCCAGCAACATTTTCCGTTGCAACTCGAAGGAGGTCAACGAGATCTCCGGCTTGGAAAGAGCCATCCGACTGTCGTTTCAGACCGCCAAATTCCCATTGCGCCGGATCTGTTGGAAGACCCTGCGCCCATTTCGCAAGACCCCCAAGGAATTGAGGTAATGTCAACTTACCTGTGAGATGTCAGTACTTCCGATTCGATACTGTTGGGGAGCGCTTACTGGGGTCAACGTCAGGTCCAAACACAACTCGCATGAAGTCTTTTACCCAAGCTTCATCATGGTTGCTTGTAGCTGCATGCCAGCGGTATATCATATTGAACTCAGCGCTGATTTGATTTCCGATACCACTCGGGATACCCGAAGTATCGAAGACATTGTCAAAGTTCTTGCGTGGGTCTAGCTTCCAGTTTGAGTCAATGGTGTTTTGGTTCAAGTTCAATATCGTTCGCAGATAGTCATTGAGAATTATATTGACATAGAGACCACAGGTTACGCTGCACAACGGCGTTAGCAATGTCACTTACAAACAGATCCGCTACTCACAGTCTACCGGTTTGAAACAAGTCATTATCACGCTTCAACTGTGCTGCTTCGTACCCGGGATCTTGTGGCGTTACTCCCTTCGGAATGCTAAAGCGATTACCCTCATTAATGATCGCCATCTCCCCAACAACATAGTTGTGGAAACGATTGAATGCAATCATGAGCGCACACACTCCGGGTGGTTGCCCTAAGAGCCTAGATTCCGCGAAAGTGTCTTTCTTTAGTGTACCATCTTTGTAAGTTCGGACGAGCTTTTGCTGGTCCTCGTTATGGCCGTAGAGTGGGCCAAGATCGAGATATGAAGAGCTCTTAAGGCGGGTGTAGTCTTGCTCGTCCGTGTGGAATATATCTATTCCGAATTAAGACAAGTAATTCCATGTTTTTAGGACAACAATACTTACCATGGATGATTATCGTCGCGAAATAGAACAGCATGCTTGATATTTTGCTAGGATGCTCCCTAGCTGGTCCATTACGAACCAAGATGGCTCCACCAAATAAGCACGAATAGCTGGAAGATGTCAGACATAACTTACTGTCGAATATTAGTGAGGGGTCAGGCAAAATCGCAGGTTTCATGCGCTGGGGCACTACACTCCTCGCGTAATGGCTGCCTGCAGCTCCAAGGTTTGGATACATGATGTTCTAAATATTGTCAATGCAGACTCTCCCCACACTTTCAGGTCGCATACATTATTCGAGCCGTCGGCTGCACGATATCTGAATTCATCACCCAGATATGAAATCGGTGGGTGCTTCAAGCCATTCCAGAGTGTTTTGATGAATTGTCCACTTAGATCGTTTCGGAGTTGAGAGTCATTGGGCAGAGATGCTGCTACTTGAACAACGTTTTCGATCTATATTTAATCTTTAGCATACTGAGTATAATGGGGCTCGGTTGGGACTTACAATGTACTTACGATCATCGACAACGCCGCCTGCGAAGGTGGTCATAGCAATATTGCGAGCTGTTGTGACATCAGGACCAACGCGGCCAGCTTGACTCCAGACGTCTTCAACTGCCCGACTCAAGAGAGAAGCAAGATCATCTTTCTCAGCCTTGCTGCTGCTCGAAGTCATGATGGCTTGTGTATTATGATCTAAAAATCGTTGTTCCTAGGTTGAAGAATGTATCGACACGGGGAGAAGATATTGGTTGTCCTGAACAGATTCCTTGAGCACATCAAAACGTGTCTTCGGGATATAAGAAGTAGTTATTACCCTTGAGAGATCAACGATTTGAAAATTCACATGCAAAATTATGGAGAGGTGAAGTTGCCTACCTGCAAAAGGACGTAAGCAGAAAGAGGGCGTTACGAATGAAACCCAGCCCTCAGCCCGCTGGCCTTGGAAGTGTCAAACATACGATACGCTGTTACACGACATGATACCTCCCATGAGCTCCTGCAAGTAATATCTCTGAGCTTGGCGGCTTACCGCCATAGTTCTCGACATCCATGGACTTTCTTGAAGAAGATGGCTTCATCTAGAGACTTCTGGATCATGGAAGGGTCAGGAGAAGTTCAAATGCAGCGATCAGGATGTCGCCCGAAGAGAATACCTACGTAAGGCTGACAACGATCCCGTCGAGCTGACTGCAACGCCTTGGCGATTCAATATCTTCGTGCTTCAGTGGCGGCGAAGAGCCAGCTGAAGCATTGCAGAATGGAGAAAATCACGCATAACAAGGAGAGTTCCGTCCTGATGGGCCAAATTATGGCACAGGCCGCAACTTAGCGTCCTGCCGTGTTCACGATGACTGCAGAGTGGTGGCCTTCAGGAGAATGCGGAGAGGTTGACGACAGGACGTTGGGTTAGAAGCCCCGGCGCCCAGTAAACCCCTGTACACGCCATGTTTCAGGAAGGATTTGCACGTGAAATCAGCAGAAGAAGCCCGTGAGTTCTCCCTACCCTTTCGAATGTCCATACGCACCATCTTCTTTGAACCTTTCTAACATCACTGCTTTGTCATTCGAGGGATTCGAAGTCATAGCCCTATACATATCCGCATTCGGAAAATCTTCCTGGATTCTAAGTCACTCCACAGTGCCTCGAGATTGTTGCATGCTTACCTGTCTTACTGCGTACGTCTCTAAGATGCGCTCATCCTCGTCCAGATCACCAATTCGCTGGCGGTAGGAAGCGGCTCCAAATTCGATCAGCCTTTTTCACATCCGTGCCCAAGCATCCACGGAGAGAGACGTCATATCTCACCGAGATAGGCGAGCCACTACCATTCAAATGACCAACTTTTTTATTTTTCGCCATTCCAGCCTACTGAGTCCTTCCCTTGCTGCCTCACAATTATGCCTTTGCAATCATGAAAAAGGTCAACAATGGACGATTGAACAACAGCAACCCAAGATCTTCCAAGTAGGACGCTACCCTGAGCGAGTCTACGCCCATCGAGGTGTATGGTCCTTATGAAAGAGCAGAAGCTACTCATAAAAACGGAATGGAGAATCTCCGGTCTTCGTGGGGGCTGTCTTGGCTGGCTACATCGCGAGTATCGACATCTCCACTCTCAATGCCTTTGTTGTGGCGTATTTGTGTCTGCGCGTCGCCTATACCGTCGTTTACATCTGTCAGCTCACATCGATTCAGCTTGTTCAGAACCGCCATCTAGCTTGTTAGCACTTTGACGTGCGTGGGGATTTTCATTGCCGGGGATTTGCTCCGGGTTCAGGGAGTCAGTTCTGAGGAGGCTATCTTCTGTCTATCACATGCTTGATAGAATGGGAATATGTGGTGCGGATGATAAACAGGGGGGGTGAAAACCTCAGGGAATGCGGGGTTCCTGCTTATTATTTCAGCTTGGCTTTATAGGGGTGATTCTTTCCGACGCCTCGCCTGACTTCCCATCGAATCTTATTGCATTTAGTGTTTGGCGAGTATCGTGCTCGTATTTCTCACATGTCAAGTTCTACAAGTTCACCGCTGTACTGTCAAACTCAGCCACCCTATTCCTATCACGAATGGGGTGTATTACTTTCTTTCACATGATAATTCTCGAGCGGATAGTGGCATTGACCTCAATTGGTCGTCACTCAGCCTCCACTCCTCTCAAGATGACAAGCTGTCGAAACATTTCGTAAAGAGATAAAAATAAGAAGGGGGTTTCAAAGTATTATTTCACGTGAAAGTTTGCTTACTGCGGAACAAGACCTGGCGTTTTATTAAGGCAGCTTAAATATTGAGGAAGGCCTCTCACCTCAGCCCTAGGCGCAAACAAAAGCACTCTTGCGAGTAGCACTTTCCTTAATAAAACACCACTTTTCCATCTCAACTCTATCCCACATCCTTTCAATAACGAAGCAATTCACTTCCATTATGAACGGATACGCGAAAAAGATGCCCGGTAGCGGAATATTCAACGCGAACAAACCTTTCGGGAACAACCCCTACATCCAGATCCCATCAGACGTCGACAGGAATCCCTTCCGCCTGGTATGGATTGACATCCTCTCCGTCTTTCAGTACAGCAGACTTCTTCCCCTTATTGTCATCCCGCTTCGACCATGCATTTCAGGCAAACTCGACGAACTTTCAGCAACGTGGCGGAATACTAGAGACATTTTCCTTCATGCCGTATTGATCATCAGCCAACTATTATTGCTTATTACTTTGCCAATTGTGGCTGTTCTATACTGGTTTGTTCCAGGAATTGTTCATGTTGTCTTCTGTGTTCTTTTCACAGTATCAACATTGTTGGTTATGAGGTTACTCAATGGAGGACCGAGGACTGAATGCTTAGTCGGCCTACCCGATGGCGAGCCACCTGTGAATGATGAGAGCGAACTCTGGTTCTTTATCAACGGTATTGCAACTGGGTATGTTGTTTTTCCGCATCAGATCAACGGAACAGTCTAACTCCAACCCCAAGAGACAATTGGCTACAATCAAATCTCAATCTACTCGCCAGCACCTTCCAGCGCGAGATAGTAGGCATCCACAACCCGACGTAAGCACGTTTCCTCTCCCTTCTACCCCACTCACTCCCAACCGGCTCCATACTAACATTTCCCAGAAAAGGACTCCTCTTCGACCTCATAGAATGCCTAATTCAGCGCGACATCGACTACAAGACCAAAGACATCCGCCAAGGCCGCATGCAACTCCGCTCCGCGCTCTCCTCCCCCACCACTCGCAAAGTCGTCCTCATTCTCCATAGCCAGGGCGGGATCGAAGGCTCTTCAATTCTCGACTGGCTTCTTACCGATCTTTCATCCTCCTTAATCTCCAAACTCGAGATATTCACTTTCGGGAACGCGGCTCGTCATTTCAACAATCCCCTTCTCAACGTATCTACGGTTGAAAATGGGAGGGATGGTCGAGGTGAAAGGATTATTAAACATATTGAGCATTATGCGAACAGCGAGGATTTCGTGGCTAATATTGGGGTTCTTAATTTTACCAGTCCACAGGCGCAGCCGTATGCTGATGGGAATGCGTTTTATGGGCCAGTGTTCATTAGGGAGGGTAGTGGACATTTGTTGGATATGCATTATTTAGATAATATGTTTACGAGGGTTAACGGGAGGGTGGCGGATGGGAATGTGTTTATGGATTCGTTGGTTCCTAATAGGTCAGTTGAACCTTTGTGTGGTTTGAAGGGAAGGCATGCTGACGCGTGGTAGTAACGGAAGGGAGAATAAAGAAGAGCTTTTGAATGGGTTTAGTGGACATAGGGAGAAGAGACTGAAGGATATTTCGAGGCTTTGGCAGTATAGGAATGGTGGGAAGCCGCAGGACTAGGTGCTGCTTGGTGTTGAATGTTGAGCGTATTGTTGTGTCTCGCTGAAGAGAGGGCATATACTGTTTTCTCGGTCTCTGGTTGAGGAGCTGAACAGGAGTTCTAAAAATTGGCCTAGAATTTTAGCACCCAGCGGCATCCAGAAAGACTTCACGGAGAACAGCTCTTGCACCCGATCTCGTGGCTCCAAACGCTGTAAATATTACATCCCCAGGCGCCATTTTTAACAGAAGTTATACGATCATGTAGCCTGGCAGGTACGGTAGACAGGGAGAACCATATACCTCTGGAGCAATGAATAAAGACGTTAGGCTGTTGCTCAGCGCAAGCAACACTAAAGTGCCGTCTATTTACGAGCTTCACTCGCCCTGATGATCATACCCCTTCCACCCCATCTCCTCCAAGCCTCCCTCGGGATCCGCCGCTCGTGGAATATAACCTCAACTTATCCCAATGCCCAAAATACCTAAACCACCACGTCGGAATCTCGCTCGTGACCAAGGAGAAAATAGAAAGGGCGGTAGCACAGGGAAATCCTGCGAATTGGACGCATCCTAAGAGGTGCCATTGGTAGTTTTACCGCGCCCACAGCCGTAGGCGGCGATGCGGTGGTATTGTGAATTTAGACTGAACACCAAAAAACGATGGTACAGTACTAGCCAACTGATATTAGACACGACCCCGCACCACACCACACTTCTCATTCCCACCCCATATTAATTACTTAATTACTTAATAACTACTAGGGCAATTCACGTGCAAATTATATTGTTTTAATCATTGCGATTCGCTCTTTTATATACCCAAATATTATACAGTTTCATCCGTCTAATTATCTTAATATTTAGTATACCACCTATCGGCCGCGATACAAGCCTTCATTCTCGCCGGCATACTTGCATATAAATTATCGAATAACCCCTTATCTAATATGTCCCACGCCGCTTGAATACAAGACTCTAGCCTCTGTCTTACATACTCTGACTCTGATTTATCTGCCGCTACCTCTGGGAACATCTCATAGGTCCTTGTTTTCAGGTACCACCAGATATACTCAATTAGATTGAGATCAGGGGAGTATACGAGCTAATTTGCTATCTATATAATACTATGGAGTGCAAACCAAGCCTGAACTATATATGCCCGGTATATAGAAGTATTATCTTGTATAAATAAGTAACTATCGTCAAATCGTAAGAAAATTGGAGCTACTTCTGTATTGCAAATCTCCAGGTAGGAGTTAGCTAAGTGCCCATACTTTGCCGACTCAAAATTACGGTCCATAATATAGTAATTGGACCTCCCATAGTCCCAAAAGCATCCCCAGACCATAATCTTTATATTCTTGCCCGTACTATAGGTTTGAACCATCTCCTTGTGCCACTTTTGCTCCGGTATACGAAAGCACTATTCCCCCCTTTTACCCCGCCCCCGCTCTATAGAACACTCGTCACTCCATACCACCAAGCCCCACTCCTCTTCTGTCTATCCTTCTCGTACGAGGCACCAAGCAAGCCGTGCCATTGCGTAAGCTTCTATAAGCTCCGGGCGTCTCTTTGCTCTCCAATTACATATGCCATGCCTCTTGAGGATCTTCTTAATGGTTTCACGCCTATAACCCAGCTCTAATTAATCAATGACCTGTTAGTATGTGTCCTTTGGGTTCAGGCGAACGTAACGGAGGATTCGACGTTTATCGGTATCGGTATATGATTTCTTGCGAGGCTTTCGTGGTAGGGAGTGCCCGTCGTTGCGTAATTCGTCTTGCTAAAGTGTGTAATTAACGGTGCTGCGAGTTAATTTTAGGTCCTTTGCAATCGAGGTAGGATCTGTACCCTCTGAAGCCTCCCCTATAACTTGACCACGTATATAAGGAGAGATCTCTGACCCCTTAGGGCGATTTCCAGAGATGGAGCGTAAAGGAGTGCGTAAAGGTGGCATTTTGGATAATATATGTAAGGGGGTTGGTAGGGGAAATCGCGTCGCGTCGCTTAAATACGCGTTTCGGCTAATATCAGTTGGTGGTGACTGTACTACCTAGGGCTCCTATCGAATCATCGAATTAGTTTGATTCGACGAGATTCGATCGAATTTTGGTTGAATCTAATAATCAATAATAATTTTAGGTTTATAAAAATAAAAGTCTTTATTTTATTTTTAATATTTATTATATTTGAGGTCAAATTTTAAGGATCGGGTCAGGGGACCATACATTTGGGATTTATGGTAATTCATAGAATTTTGATAAATTTGATGAATGAAGAGGCCTTGGGCTAGCTTTAAATTCATTGAAGCCTTTCCTAATCTGGATTCAATTCATTCAAAGGAGTTTAGGGTGATTCAAGCTCAAAGTCTTCAATTATCAGCCCTAGACACTGTCCCTTCGAAACCACGAAATGTTCAAGCAAATTACAAGTTTCCATAATGATAATATCCAACTATCTCTCATCTTCATGCTCAGCCGAGCAACAACGCCAGATTACCGTTAGTAGCGTTGGTGTCATTACGTCCAAGAGAACCCAGACCAAAGTTGGTGATGGCACCTCGGAGGACACCATAATGGGTGATGTATGAATTATCCTTCGTATTGGGGTCAATACCATGGCCGAATAAAAGAGTGGCAACTTGGTTATTATTGTTTGGGATATAATCGTTATCATTCTGCCACGTCGCCTCGTCGAAACTTGCAACTATCAAGGTACCCTGGTCCTTCAAATCGTCGAGGTACATATCCAAGAAGGCGTTGAACCACATTCCCGATGATGTAGGTTGATGGGCGTAGTCGCTGTCTGATTCTGGGTCGTGGCCATTGTGGAGCATATCGGGGACGTAGAATGAATAGGCGGGAAGCTTTTGTGAAAACACATCATCGTCGAATTTCTCAGTTGCATTGTAGATCTTGCTGCAGCGAGTGTAGCTGTCGGTGTATGTAGAGAAGAGCAATGGTGGTACGTCCAAGCGGCGATATACTGGGCTGTTCCAGTCTGGGTTGGTGCTGTCGAGTGGGCCGATGAATAATTCATTGTTGCAGTCATTTGGGCCCCGTTTTGTAGCGAGAGGAGTATACCACTCAGCGTAAGTGGCATAGTCAAGCCCTTTTGCGTCGAGCAGGTCATAGATGGTGGTGGTGTTGAGGTTATAAAAGTCTTCGGCTGCAGCACCAAAGAAGTCACCAGCGAGGAAAGTGGCGTAGTTAGACAAGGACGGATGGGTTATGCCGTGGCTATTCGTCAAAAGTTTCCCACGTTTGGCAAGTAGCTTCCACCATGAATCACCCATAGTCCAGCCGTACACTTCGTTCTCGAAGATCACGTGGAGGATCTTCTTGAATTTGCCCTTGCCCTCGCTGTGCGTGTCATCATCTTTGCTGACAGATATCTCCTTCGGATTCCCTTCATTAATAATGAATAATGGGTACATGGTGTTGTCTGAGGGCGAATTCGGGATACCAAGTGGGTCTGTTTGAGCAGTGTTGTTGTTAATCCCCACAGTATTGTTGTTGACTGCCCAAGTGTAGTACCCGCCGTAGTTGGATGCTTTGAACGGTGGTTTGTACTGAATAGTGTAACCAGCCAGAGCTGGATCACTGGACTTGTAGACGCCACCACCAATGAAGGGTACCTCATTGTCCGCAAGTTCGAATTGAGCTGAGGTGCTGCCAATCAATGCAGCAATCGTCGCGCTCACGGCAGCAGATTGATAGTTGTAACGCATACTGAGTGAGAGGATGGAAGGAGACAACGAGGGAAGAATGAGAAGAAATATGAGTTCTTTGCTATTGCGCACGACGCACAAGCAACCTACTTATAAGAAAAGGTGATCATGAACATGCACCCCCCAATTCGTCTGCAAGGCACAAAGCGGGAAGCAGTGACATCTATCTGTCCAGAGAGAGGCTCTTGAATCTGCGATTTAGACACTCCCCGGAAAAGAATCCCCATTGAAGCAGCTTTGCATTTTTGGGCTGATGGCACGTTGGAGGAGACTTGGTGATGATTGGCCGCGGGAAGAAGCGAAATTTTTAGGTCGCCAGCGGGACGTTAAAGCTACACGTGCTGAATTGGCATTTTTAAGGTCGAGAAATTGAACTCACCTTACGGTCTTAGGAAGGTGAGAGTTTAATGTCCCAGCAGCTAATAATGTGCGATGTGAAACTTTGAGTGGGTTCCTAGCCCTCATACATTCAGGACCCGACAGCCAGAATTTTTTGAATGAATTATGAATCAAATGAATCGAATTTTCGTTTAAGGCGATTTCAATCCATTCAAATTTATATTTTGGTAGTTCAAATAATCCATGAATTGTCGCGAAATCACGTGACCACATGACACTGAGCCACATGTTGAAATTAGGGGCCTGAGGCCCCTAATAGGCTTAGTAAGCCCTGGAACCGAACGCCATGGGGCTGTGCACTAGCTTAATACCCTGTCCAGCTGGAATACCCTGTATAGCTGGAATACCCTGTACGGCTGGAATACCCTGTATAGCTGGAATACCCTGTACGGCTGGAATACCCTGTATAGCTGTAATCGGTTCAGCTGGCATAGGGATTTAGTACATGTGACTTAGGGGGTTCAGGGCTATATATACGGGCTACTTACCACTGTAGAACAGCAGTCAATTCAGTATCGTTTACTTGATTTACATTGCAAGCACGTGACCCTAGCTATATTGCTTTAGCTAGTTCAACACCACATAATGAGTTATATCGAAGCCTGTTTAAGGATGGCTCCCCGCGTTATTCTTCTTTTGCTCCTCGCGCTACGTTGTGTATCTAGAATCAATACATACCTTGACTCAAACCCTCACATGAATAGCTTTTGGATAATTTTATGCCAGATTGTAATGAGGCAGTTTAATTTCCGGGTAAGGAAGGCACCAGTGATCAGTCACTAGCCAATGACCACTACCCATTTGACCAGTCGCCAGGACCGCTCTTAAAATAAGTTTCTTGGGAGTCACTCATCGTGAATAGCCACTCACAGTGATATTCTCCTAATATATATATCTAGCTAAACAAAAATGGGAGAAGGACTATTCAATTCCTGCCCTCGGGCTTCTGCCTAGTCACGACGTAATTAATGAGCACACATTCGTCAGCACCCCAGCAAGCCAATATTGAGGGAGGGAACCGCTTATTAAGTATACTGTGAATGAACCTTATCTTTCTTTATATCCATCGACTCGGCCCTAACCTTGGCAGGGAAAACCTGCACCTCCTCTACCGACCAGCCAAAGACACCCGTAAACATGTGCATACAGACGGCCTTGGCCCTCGATGAGACAGAGGTAGTTCCAGGCTCCAATCTCTTTCTGGTCTAGATGTTAGCACCAAAATCATTTCTCACCCAAATCCCTTGACTGACTTCGGATTGGAAATCTTATGACCAACATACGAAAGTATGGACAACAAGCTGGAAGGCAATGACAACGTGAAAGCCGCGCGTACCAGCCTCTTGTCCCTTGGCCACAACCCAATCGGCAGAGGTATGATATCTTCCATCACGTTCACATACCCTGCCTCCTCGGCCCACTTCTTCAACTCCGGGCCAGGAGCATATGAGGGATGCATCGTATCAATTGCGTCCTTGAGTAACTTGTGATACTGGTAGATGTAGCTATCTTTTGAAAGCGAATTATCGGACGAGGCAATGTGGTGATCACAGTCTTTGAATTCAACCCGCCGCCTGGCCTGGTGTGTCTATTTGAGATGTATAATGTGAGGAAAGAAACGGGACTGGAAAGAAAGGGCTGGGGGGAGGATACTCACGTGTAGCATTGTCTAGCGAGCTTCGGCCAGTCCACGATGGAGAAGGCCAGGAAACGGACGTGGATGAGATCCAATGGGGTACGAAAGGTTCATTCTGCTTCTACGTCGTCCACTTCAAACTGGACGTTTGATGGGACCCTGAGACTGGCCAAATTTCTGTATTTATATCAGGAAGGATTGAAGTAGGGAAACCGGGACTAGTATATATCATCTTCCAGAAATCTGCCGATTGTAGAGATGGATTGTCAGCTTGGCGGTGGAGGAAGCTCGACAGAAAATGTTTGGTAAGGGCCGTTGAAATTGGCGCCCTGGCGAGGCCGATAGCAATCTGCGGAGGCAAGCCCAAAGGCTTTCACGCTACTGAAGACATGCCATTCTCGTCTCAATGTACAAACGATTCTCACCCTCCCGACAAGACCACACCATATACTCCTTAGTTAGTCGTTATCCGGCTTAGTACGGGTCCGTACTTTACGTCCAGTAGTTCCATATTCTCTTCTTGAACCTTGCGCTTCAGGATATATAGTTTCAGACCCTTTCCGAAGTTGTGAGTACACATTAATGTGTTAATAATCGTAAGTATAATCAGGACTATAGTTAAGATAGCGAAGATTATAAGGGACTTTTTTATAAGCAGGTATTAGTTAATATGCCCGGGCTAATATATTTGGACTAGCTTGAAGAGAAAGTAAGCCAAGTTGCCGAAGTATAGGATTAGAATAAAGATTATCCCAATAATATTCTCTTAATATGTAAAAAAGGTAACTAGTAGCAGGATAGCAATTGTAATTGGAATGGCAACAATAGTTAGTCCAAACTTAGCAAGGCTAATATTTGTAATAATGGCCAGAAATTTCATTATGAAGCCCGGGAAGAAAAAGAAGTCAAACTCCAAAAGGGAATTATAGATCTAGAAGCTAGAGTTAGTATTGCGCAAAAGATTCTCTTGCGAAGAGGCCTACTTAAAAGGTCAGAAACCTTTACTTTATTATTTTATTTGCACTAATATGCTTGTAAATGGTTTATACAAACTCAGTATATAATTTCCAAGTAATATAAGACATGACCATGATATATAAGGCAATAATGCAAGGGATAGCAATATAGATTAGTATGCCGATATTATACAAGCAGAGACCAGTGACTTGAATAGTATTTTTCAACTAGAGGGGGTCATAGACCAGGGTATACTGATAGGGAAATCCGAAAATAAAGATCGTGAGATATGTCAGAATAGTCTTAACTTATGGTATTCTGGGTAAGTTGGGTATAAGGCTTTCCTGGAATTCTATAAAGACGAAGCCTATAAAGACGAAGCTATCACCAAAGAGTTAGTATCTGTATCTTGAATTAGATAATGGTGTATGCCTATGCTTCCATAGCAAGAATGGCTGCGGTCTGCACCAACGCGATAATTAGGAAGGACTATGTCCAGGTGGTATTTGGTTTGTACATTATTCCTTGTCGTAGCCCTGCGCCAGCGACAAATGGCGCGAATTTTCACGTTGATGGTATCCTACGATGTACGGTTGGTACGCTGTGTCTCCAGCGAGGAGGGACTTTCGTGATTCGTGTTTGTTAAGACAGTTCGACGATGCTATGCTCCCTGTGCGAAGCTCTGTCAGAGTTGAAGAAGGACGGCGTGGGCTTGTGAGATATTGTACTAACAAATCAATTCACTGGGATGCTGGAAATTTTACTGATGTGTTTGTCGTGGATGGTTGATGAAGGGATTAATGTCCAAGGGGCTTAACAGCTGTCATTAAAGTTTGTCTACAGTCTGACGTCTCCTATGCCGCAAAGAATGTCGGGTTTGAAGCTGAAACGCCATCGGTCGGTCAGTGGCGGATACGAAGGGGCCATAAATCGAGAGGTGCTTGCGATCGATGCATGCCGGAGACCGACGATGAGAAAAAGTCCAAAGTCGAGCGAAACGGAGATATCTTAGGATGCGAAGGATAAGGGTCTTACGTGAAATGGACAGGGATGAGGTGAGAGGCCTCAACTCTCCGACACTACCCGATGAGCGGGCACCCGTAGCTAGCGACGACCACCATCCTTCGCGAACCTCTCGGAGTTCCTCCGTTACAGTGAAGTCGGCACCATTCGCGAAGTATCAGGAATGGCCCTTTCAAGGCTTCCTAAAACGCACCGGGATTGGGAACAAGACAATATACAATCTCGAGTTCTAGCTGCAACATGTCCTGGAGCACCTCTACTCCAAAGCCTTGGGCATGCGTTCTGACAAGGAGACGTCCGCAGAGGCTGCAACCCCTCACAACGCTAGCGCACATTCCAAGATATATCTTGCCGCGGTTTGTCCTCGGATAAAGCGTGTTCCGTGGACACCTGAAGAGGACGCAACAGTGCTCAAGATGAGGGACAAGGACAGCTGCTCTTGGGAAGAGATCCATAACATCCTACTCTACCAGACCCCAAAGGCAATCCAGGGATACTACTATACTATCCGAGCAGGTGTTGGTAAAGCCAATGTCTCGGGGGGCCAGTTGCAGAAGAGACGGCAAGGCTGGCCCCGGAAGCAAACGTGAGGCTGGGCTGTGGAGTTGTAAGAAGGGCATGAGATTTTTAGAGGTGTTACAGGAAGTGGTGGTTTTGTCGGTGGATATTACGGATTGACGGTCCGTAGTTAGAGTTGGGTGCTGGCGATATGGTTTCATTTGAGCTTACTTTCTCTTGCTTGTTTCCTTTGTAAAGAGTTGTTTGATTGGAATATGAGAAGATTACAAATCAGGCTAGCAAACAAATATTTTTATACTATCTCTAATATATCTCTTATATATACTAAAGTTATGCTAGCTATCGAAAGTCTCTGCCCAGACCCTTCGTGCGAAGCCAGGTAATTGGTAAAGTACGAACTGCAAAGATATGATTAAAAGACGACGGGCTGAGCTATAGTGTAGGTTCTCATAATACTATTGTAGGAGGGATGTTTGGCGAGTTAGCGAGGAGGGGCTGCAGGAGGCAGCTCTAGCGAGTGCAGGCATATGTAGAGATTTGGACAAGTAACAGGCTAGGAGTTTGGAACTTGGTAGCCTGGGAGCTGCCATTAGTTGCAATCCGGGATTGGTTATAGTTTTGGGTAAGCCCTATCGGTTATATTATTGGATGCTTGATAGTAAAGTTAAAGGATTGCAGAAATTCGAGCAAGTGGTTATAAAAGTTCAAACTTGTAGTTAATATAAAGGCGAGAAGAGATAGTATAATTTCTTGCTAATATTTGCAAATTGCCAAGTTTATAGGTTAAGCTTTATAAAATTAGATATTAAATAGCTATATCCTAAAAGAAATATTAAAAAATGAAAGCTTAAAAACATTTGCTTTTATATATTAATAGAAGCCTTTATTTGTTTTTTATAACTTTTCTATATGTTTTTTATTTTAATAAATTACTAGTTCTCTATTCTTTTTATCTAATTTTTCGAATTAGAATTCTTATTATCTTTTAGAGATTTTAATTCTATTTACTTATTATTTATAATAAATAATATAGTATTAGATTTAATACTTTTATATAAAAATAGCCGGGATATTATAAAGTAATTAAGTATTTTATTTAATACTTTTATTTATTATTCTTAAAATAAAATATAGAATTTAGTAAATTTATTTATATATCCTATAATATATTAAAACTATAAAGAAAATATACTTTTTTTTAATTTTATTAATTAATATTTTTCTAGATTTATTCTAATTCTTTATTATTTTATAAAAAATTAATAAAGTATTAACTTTTTATTAAAACGGTTCTAAAAATATATTTATTTCTAAAAAGAATTTTAAATATTAATAGCTAATATTAATTTCCGAATTACCTCTTTTAGCCTAATACTTTTTTAGTATTTCTTATTTTTTACTAAAAATATAATAATTAATTTTCTTTAAAATATATTTAATATTATTATTTAAAAGAACAGAACTCGATTTAATAAATACAAATATCTTTAATTTAAAACCTTAAAAAGTATCTAAGAATCTTACTTATATAAATAATAGCTTTATATATTTTAACTAACTAATAATATTTCAAATAAGTTAAAAATACGAATTCTAATTAATTATATATAAAATTAAATAAAATATTTTATTTATTTGAAATATATTAGTTCTAAAAACAAGAAAGAAAAGGCTTATAAATAAAAAAACAGTCTATATAAAAGCAAAATAAATTTAAAACTTTTTAATAAAAACTAATAATTATTTATATATAAAAAATTTTAATATAAATAGTTTTAAAATATTATTTTTCTAATATTTATACTAGAATTAAACCCAAAATAAATATTTATTATTTCTTTTATAATTTGCTATATTTTAATTAATATAATAGCTAATAGTATTTATTTTAAATTAAAATAAACTTTAGTTATTTAAGTAATATTTTTATAGAAATTATTATTTATATATTTATAATTCGAAAATATAAATGTTTTATTTAAATTAAAACTAATAGCTATAATATTTTTAATATTTATATTTATTAATTTTATAGTTTATTTTATTAATAATATATTAGTAATTATAATAAAATAATCGAATATTTATAACTTTTTTTCTGAACTTTTATTTTATATCTTAATATAAAAATCTTTCTAATTAATTTCTAAAGCCTTATTTTTTTTTTAATATTTTATATATTATTTTAAATAATAATAATATTTTCTATTTTTATTTAAATAAATTTATTATAATTTATTTTTTAAATTATAAACTTTATATATTTATAAAACTTTCTTTTATTTACTAATTCTAATTATATTTTAAAGAAATAAAAGAAGCTTAATATTAAGTCTTTTTATTCTTTTAATTTAAATAATAATATATATATTTATAATATTATTTCTAAAACTATCTTTATCTAGTTTAAAATATTTAAATATAAAGCTTATATTTAGTAAATTATAATATATAACTTTATAATAATAATAGACTAGTTTATATTTATTTATAATAAGTCTAATAAATATAAGTTTATATAAAATATATATAATAAAATTATTTAATATTTTATAAATTCTTTTTTATTAAATCTAGTATTATTATTTCTATTTATATTTATTATAATAAGAATTACTAAATTAGAGCTAGTATAACTACTTTACTTAATTAGGATTTATATATTTATTTCCTAAAGCTTTATATTTTACTAAAGCTCTTTTCTAGCTAGTTTAATTAATTCTTTTATTATTTAATATAATTTTCTATTCTATAATCTTTATATATATTAGTTATAAGCTCGGCTTTATACTAATAAGCTTTCTAATTAGTATACTATAAAGAGTATTTAAGAGCTTATTTAATTTATTTTTTCGAAAATTATATTTTAATTTATATTTCTATTATTAATTATTTAATAGAAATTATTTCTATAATTTCTATTATTTCTATAAGCTTAATTATAATTATATTAGAAGCTATAGTAAAGATTATTATTCTAAAAAACTATAGTTCCTAGATAAACTAGTTTAATACTTTTTATAAAATAGCTAGTAATAAAAATATTTAAAATAAAATTAATTCTTTTAATAATAAAATAATTAAAATAAATATAATAGCTTTTCTCAGGCCTTCTTTATAATTAATAAGCATATACTAAAGGAAATAAAGAATTACTATCTTAGATATTAAGTTAAAATAGAGAATTAGAATAAGAATATTTGATTTATAATTAAAAAAAAATTAAAACTAGTATTTCTATAGATTATAATATTCGAAAATATTAGAGATTATTATTTAATACTTTTATAAAACTATAAAATCAAGAAACTAGACTAGATAAATAAGCTAATATATTATTATATAATTAGGTAATAGCTTTATTAAATAGTTAATATAGAGATTCTTATAAACTTTATTTTAGAATTTAAAAAAAAGTAAATAAAGCTTTATTTATAAGGTTTTTAAAGCTTTATTAATAAAATATAGTTATATAAATATAATATCAATTACTATTACTCGAAGAATATATAGCTCGATTTTATTATAAGTAAGTAAAAAAGAAATAAGCCTAAAGTACTAGTTTATTAATTAGAAAAAGGTATTTAATTATACTAGAGCTTTTAAAATTACTAAAATTAAAGATATTCTAATAATAATTGAATTCTTAATAGTTCTTTAGTAAAAGCTTATACTAATCTAGATAATAGAATAGCTTAATAATCTATATAATAAAAACGAACTAGAGCTTCTAATTCTTATACTCGAATAATATAACTAGATATTTAATTGAATTATTTTAGAAAATCAGAATATTAAATACTTAGAAGCTTCTATAATCTTTACTATATTCGGGAATTAAACTAATAAAGAATTAGATAATAAACCCGATTCGAATAAATATAAGTACTATAAGTACTATTATAAGGGTTTTAAAACCTTTAAATATAAATAGAACTTATTTAGTTATATTATTATAGAAATTATAATTACTAAATTAAATAAAACTTAGATAAAATTTAAGTTTAACAAAAAACAAATTAAAAAAATCCGGAAAAGACTCTTAATTAAATATTAGAAAAATCTAAAACCTTAGCTAAAAAAGAAATATAATATAAAAATTATTAATAAATAAACTATAAAGAAACTAATATCCGGTATTAGTTCTAGAAAGAAATCTAAAATATTTAAAACCTAATTTTCTAGGAACTTTAATATTATTCTAATAAATCTTATATTTATAATCTAGAATTTAAATTAAGAGATCTATATAATATTTAATTTTTTAAAATATTTTACTAAATAACTATAATATTATATATTTAATTAATAATAAAAATCTAATTAATTCTAGTACTTTTATTAAAGCAAAAATTAATAATTATGTAAAAGCAGAAATAATTAATCTTCTAATTATTAAATATAGTATTTATATAATTAAAAATATAATTAATAAACTTATAGAACTATATACTAAATATCTAATTCTTTATAATTTTATAATTAGACTAGGAAATTATAAAGAGAATATAATATTAATATAATTAGAATATAGATTTAATTTAGTTTTTCTTAAATATAAACTACTTTTTATTTACTCTAATATTTTATTTAAGATTTCTATTAATACTAATAGTATATTTATATTTCTAATATTTTAAATTAAGAAATAATTTAAAAGAAAAATAATATATAAAAACAGGATATTTAGCTTATTAATTATATATATAATATAAAAATTAATAGACTAATAAGAATTATATAAGAATTTTATATTTAAATATATACTAAATAAGTAATCTTATATAGGCTAATTAAGAAAAAGTTTATTTAATTTTTTTAGAGAATTTTATAAGACTTATTTAATTACTTAAATAGCTATAATAGTTTAAGCTAAATTCTAATAATTAAAAACAAATTTAGTAAAAAGCTTTTTAGATATCTTTTACTAAATAAAAAAGATTTACTAGTATTTAATATAATTAGAGATTTTAAATAATAAATATATAGGTAATATAATCTTTTAATTACTTATATTAAATATAATTTTAAAAAAAGCAATTATTCTAATCTAAGAAATATTAGTTTATTAGATCTAGATAAAGAAATAAGATATTAAAATCAAGCTTTCTTTTATATATATATATAAATCAAATAATAATATTAAATAAATAAAGCAAGAAATTATAAATAAAGCTATTATAATATATTTAATAACTAATTTATCTGAAAAGCTATAGCTAGAAAGCTTTATAACTATAATTTATTTATAAAATTAGAGCTTTTTATATATAAATAACTAGAGAATACTAAATAAAGTATT